ACAGGGCTTGGTCCTTTACTGCCAAATCTTTTTTGCATCAGGATGGTTTCTATGGTTTGTTCAGTCTCTTGGATAACTACATAATGTCTTTTGAATCATCATACTTAGCTATGTTCCAGTTCCAGCAAATATCTGGCAGCCTTCCTCTTTTTGATGCATTGTTTTTAATTATTATTGCTGGGTTTGGTTTCTAAGCTGCTTGAAACTTCCACAGTTTTACTTCTGGTTTGTTAGAACTTATCCTGTATTCTGTTTTTCACACTTTCATTGGCTTTTACTTTTCCAATTACCTCCCTTTCTCAGATAGTCAGATATACAGGCTTTTTCTTCCACTGAGTTCTTTTTAGCATCTTATTGATTAGCACCATAAATTTTACTCTCTCATCTGCCACCCAGAATTTTTTCTTTTAAAGCTCTTTGCTAATAGTACCCACTCTACCTTGTAACTGGTTTTTGATGTTTTCTTTAATCTGGCTTTCAGTTTTCCTTAAGTTCTCAGGTTACATCATAGTTTAGCCTAATAAATCTAAAACGAATTTTGGAAGGTTCTAGACAGAATAAATATGAAGTGAAATTGCAGTTTAAAATTTAATAGGTGGCCACTACTTAGCCTTCCTTACCAATAATTTTAAGATTTATGTTCACCACTTGAGTAAAGTTTTCAGAATTCAAAACCACTTTTACCATCAGAGGTTAAAGGTTAACTCTTATTTACTTTAAGCCAGCTGCCTCATTGCTTGCTCAGTCTGACTATTTATTCTTTTTATATGCGTTACTGATATTCACATGAAATTTTATACAAAAAACAGAGTTATATACAACTGCACATTAGTAGTCACTCCAAAAACCTAACAAGAAATCCTAAGACAACAGATGCCACAAGAACACAGATGGCAAATTCTGTAATAAGATACTTCACTCAAACTGCCAGCCAGCCCTCAGTAGGCTGAGGAATAAGCCTGTTAAAACTACACTCTCTTGCACACAGATTTTCTTCAACAACAACAGAACAGGAGGCTTTGGCTCATGGCAACCATGTGTGATGCAAAAACTATTTTCTCTCTGTAGAGAAGCCAGTTCTGCCTATTGACATCAACTCCTCCTCAGCTGACCAAACACCCATGCCTCTGCATGTTCTCTGTTAATGAAAAACGTGTGCTTTCAGTTCCCATGGCAAGCCACATCTTCCCATAGTGCCTGAGCCTCCCTGAGCAAGCACTCCAAATGTTAGGTTGCATCTCATCCATTGATTTCCTTTGTCAGGAACATGACAGACACAACCACAGCAAGTTAAGACAAGGACCTAGGTGGAGCCTTCCAAGGTCAGGATCCCTGTCTGGGCAGAGTCCTCCCAGCTGCAGGAAGAAGACAGACTAACAACCACACTGGTGATACACCATTTTCAAACACATCTTTGCTCTAGGGTATCTCTCACAATACCTGCCTTGTCTTCTGTGGGCAAACTTGGCTGGCTAACATTTTTGGTCTCACAGGTGTTTTGGTCTTTCCAAACACTAGTAACAATAGGCCATGCTGCCAAAGAAACTTACACTCTGGACAAAACTATATAGCCATAATTAAACCTGTAACCTGATGCACACCTTAAGGTACCAGTAAAGGTGGTTCTTCTGCAGTAATCTGTATTTTTAATATGTTAAAACAAAAAGGCATATAGCAAATTATTCAGTGTTCCAAAAAATATCAAAGGCGCCCTGCATACCAACATGTTGCCTCCTATCAAAAGTAATTATAATGATGTGTGTGGTTAAATTCCAGCATCTCACTTTGTATTCAAGTACCACACAAGAAATTCAGCTGTTTCTGGAAAAAAAGCCTATCAGAAGACCATGTAATTTTGAAAAATGCAAAAGGGAATATTTGGCAGTCATCTGAAAAGGAACCCAGATTCCTTGTGCCTCACTCTTCAAAATAATTTTTCCTCACAGCCACAATCAAACCATCTCCCACCAAAATTCCAGATTAGGAAAGGTTACTACAAGGGACAGACAATTAATATATTGAGTCCATAATTTTCTGAAAATAAGAATTAATAACTCAAACTACTTCACAAAGAAAATACAGGTATGATGATCTGGGGAGGTGGTGTTTATTGTACTACTACTTCATTATTGAGAGCTCTTTCTGTAACTGCAGGAGGCCGCAAACTCCACTATCATTGCAGAGTCTGTTTACCCTGTGTGTCATTTTCTGTTACAATACTGAACCAAGCCCCCAGCAGGAGATAGGAATTATTATGCTTGGCGAAGGACTAGCAATGGCATATCATTAAGTTTTGATAACTGTCTCAAAGGAAAGTACTTTTCAAGTCAGAACTTGGGGGACATGAGTGCACTAAGCAACAGATTATGGGGAGAAACTTTGATCATGTCTCAGATTGATCAAAGGGTCACCCGATACATTTTCAAAAGCCTCTCTGGGCATCCTGGGGACAAATGTAGAAGAGACCATGGGAGACACTCTAAAAGCAGACAGTATCATCAACTGCAGGCCATAATTAATGAAAACTGACTTCACAAGAGATAAGAAATAAGCTATGATTTGAACAAAACTTTGGAGCAAAAGCAGAGTACTGAATTCCCCACAGTGCACAGATTTTGACAAAATGTACATTCAGGAAGGAATGGCTGGAAAATATATGGTCATTACTAGCATGTTTATCTTGCTTACCTAAGAATCAAAAAGAAGACTAGCTGCTTTTTAGAGGGATCACAAGGACTCAAGAATCCAGTGAATAGCAAAATTGCTATTCGCTTTCCAAACTCAGTAACACTAATCTCCTCTGGCAACAAAAACTGCCGGACTCTACAAAAACAGGCAGATACATTTCCTTGCTCCCTGCCTGGCAATCATCAGCTTCTGGATTCAGTAACAGAGCAATGAAATCCCAGTGGAATTTCATCTTCCAAGAGCCAGCAGTAAACCCTGTATACTTTTGAACAGATAAGCAATGGCCAGCCAGATATTGAGATTTGCATTATTCAGACAAACAAAGTCTAGTGGGGTGCTGTTTCTCCGTGCTTCCATCTGACTTCCTGTCTGCCTTGCATGTGGCACCAGCTCCCGTGCCCGTCTGCATCAAAGCAGCCAAAGCAAACACGGCTGTGTGCAATGCCAGCTGCCCCAGTGCCTGCAAAATCTGTTTGAATGGCAAATACAGACTTCAACGGGACTTATTTTCTGCTGTCCCCCAACAGGGCTTCTTTTGCACTATCCCTCCTACTGTGAGCATGTAACACACGATGCTTAGGTTTACCTTAAACAAGTACAGCCCATAGGTGCAGCAGTAGCTTTTACTTACTAGGTGTAGTCTGTATGCCTCATTTTAAAAGCATTGTAACAAAAAGACACGTGCAAATTGTCCTATTATCTGAGCTGTGCCTGAGAATGACAGAAGACACATGCTGTGCCTCTACTCCAGAAAATAAGTCTGCACAATAAGACTGAAGCCCAACCAAGTACATTCAGAGGATATATACTCCGTTTACATGCCTGTCAAGAGCAGTAAAAGAGAATTATGGTTCATCAGGAAGAGATAATAATGGATGCTTGCAGCCCTGACAGACAATGCTGCTACAGAAAAACCACATTAATGCAGTGAAGGTCTTCACTAAGGAAGAAATTCTCTTATCCAACACCACTAACTTAAGACATAGAAGCCTGACTTAACAATACATAATGGAATCTAAAGGTATAGAGAACAGATAAATTCAAATAATCAAAACACTTTGTTTTCTCTGCCAGCTCTGTAAGCGCCTAGCCAAATAACAGACAAAAAAAAAAAAAAAAACCTGGTCCCTACTACTGTATTTCAATGTCTAGCTCTGAAATCAAATGTAAGGAAGAAATATGCTCTTCACTTAAAAACCCCAACCCTTACTTCAAGGCTTTTTTTTTTTAAACTGGACTACAAATTAAACATGTGAACGTGTCTCAGGTTTGGAGGGAGGAACAGTGAAGGACAGCAAGAAAAACTACAGACATTAAATACTCTACAGAGTAGTAATGTTATTCTAATGCATTGTTCCACACTATTTTACTGAAAATTTAAACTGTGTTACAGTTCTTAACACTAATTTTACATTCAATAAATATAAACATAGACTTTCTGATTATTCAGAAGTTCACAGTATATTTTGCTGGGATTAAGTTCCAGGCCAAAACCTGCTGTCCCACTTCGAAATGATCACAGCCTCACGACAAGATGTTACACTCTTTTGGAGGTGTGAGCAGGGGCAGTACAGTTATGATGAGGGAACAGATCTCCCAACACTGTTCTCAGAGAAGGAAAGACATTTTGCCAAGGAGGAAAGTACATTTCCTGAGAAGCAGCAAAATCATTTAGGTATTCTGACCACAGTGTCAAACAGTGACTGAGGGGGTCAGGCTCCAGGCAGGAATTCAGCTTCACACAGACCAGGAAATCCCATGACTGCCATATACAAACTACATCTTTGGCTGTCACATGATGTACAGAACAAATGCATGTCGTGATGAAGATCAAAATTAGACAGCTCAGTAGAACTCCAGACTTCTTCACTCTCACATCACACATGAAAGTATAAATGACATGATAAAGGTCACAGGAATACAGTGAGAAGAAGAACACACTTCTGTTTCCTGCTTCACACCTTCTCTCATGCTGACAGCATACACACACCAATTGCACCACAGTGTTTTGCTTGCCTTTTATAAACAGCCTTTGAAAAGCTCAAAAAAACCCTCTTTCCAAAATATTGTTTCCAGTGCCTTCTTTATTAAGACAATAAAGGCAAGGTAATGAAGTTCATCATTAAAAGACTACATTTATACAAAAACATCCCTACTCTCTGCATAAAGTGAGTATATAACAATATAGTGAGTATATAACAATACAGCAGTAAACACACGAGTGTGCAGGGCAAGGGTCATAGAGAGGAAGGGGCATTATTATGCTATCAAAGAAAAGATGCAGTTTATACAGTTATTCTGTTGCTACTCACTGTATTGGGTACATATGGCAATCCATAAACTTTCTCCTGTGTTTCCTTTAAAATTTCTGTGGTTGACTTTTTTAGAGGGTGTTTACCATGGTAGATTTGGTCCAAGACAGCATAAAAAACCTGAAGAGAGAAAACACATTTGTCCTTGGCACATGTTATTGGCATATGAAAACCAAAAAAAGACACAAAGAAAAGAACATGAGAGATGGACTAGGGAGAGGGAATAGTTTAAATATATATGGTTTGGAAATCTTCTATAATTAGCATAACATACTAATGTTATACGAGGAGAGAAACAGATTTTTGGAGTTCATCAACCACCACCATCATGACCTTTCATAAATCCATGTTTATGTCATTTATCACACTGGGAGCACTAAACTGTCTGCACCTTTTAAAAAAGTTAAGATCTGTCCCTAAGGTCCTCCAGCAATTCCCCTTTTCAAGAAAACTATTTTTAAATTTCTATTTTGAAGTTATTTAAGTGGACACTGCAAAATAAGCTATTTCAAGATGTGTACATGCAGCCATGAGAACACCTCACCCCTGCAGGGGCAACTTATGGCTTAGGCAGCGAACATAAGAATTATGTTAAGAATATGACAGAATCAATGAGGTTGGAAAAGGCCTCCAAGATTATCAAGTCCAACCTTTGACCTAAAAGCACCATGCCCACTACACAGAGCTGTAAACACTACTGAGTTTCTGTCAGAGCCCTGCAACAGTGTAGTACCAAGGCCAATCTTTCCTTTATTTTAGCTCTCACCATCAGAGCAATAAATTGCTTAAGTGTAAGCTTAGCTAAGAGCACACTGCACCAGGAGGGTACTGTGCCAGAAGTAAGAGCTGATCCATAAGCAATTTTTATGCATGTGAACTACAGCAGAATGCAGGTGCATGACCATATAACAGAGGTGTTCAGAGAGTGGGAAAGCAGCACCATTAAAAAGACTTTCCAAGCAAAGACAGCAAGGCAGAGTCTCTGGAACGGTAAGAAAAAGCATGAAAGAGGCATGGACAGAGGAAATTATTGCAGCCTTTTTTTTAGTATGAAGATTTTGTATTTTGTTGAAGTGCAAGGAAGACAGAGGACACCCACTGCTTTACAACATAAGATATTTTTAACTAGTTTGATCGATCCAGATGCTCAAGGGAAGAGGTCAGGTCATCCTGTAGTCAGCACACTTCATAGGAAAGTTGACAATAAGGAGCCTCAAAAAGCTTTTTTGCAAGGAATTAAGCAAATAATTTGGCTAGAGATTCAGGCCCAGTCACACTCCTATAATGTGCAATACCATCCCCAATGACATAAACACACTGTTCCAGGAACTATAACCATGAAATTTTATGAAAAAAAAAAGTTGTTTGGATGTTTTATGTTACCTAATTAACAAAACTCCTTGAACCTCAGAAAAGATTCTTTATTACAAAATGTTAGTACAAATAATTCTGAATTCCTTAACAATTTATCAGAATTCAGAATATTTTTATTTGTTCTGGATACAACATGTAGTTTCACCAAAAATGTTTCTAGAAGAGCATAATCCTTCTGTTTGAATAAGCTGTCTTCTAACATACAGAATTCTGATAAACCCTTTGACAGTCTCTCTTGGCAAATAACAAGACATTGGGGTTTTTTTCCAAGAAAAACTGAATGTTATAAACAGGGGGGTGAATAAACTGTGACTTGCAGGAGCTACTCATAGATTTCCTGCTTGCTCCTCATTAGCCATGGCTAAGGAGCAGAAGAGATGTCAGTAAGACTCAAGTCACACAATCACCCATTAACGACACTGCAAGTTTTATGTCTCAGGTAGCAACACTGAACAAGACATGGAAGCACTCAACATTGTCCATCTACTAATGCAGAGTAGCCAGAAAGCATCTGTTCAGACTAAAAATATACGGAGAAATCTACACTAGACTGCAAAAATACTTTACTCTTATTTATATGAGAAGAGAAAGAGACTTTACAATGGCTTTGCATTCCCAGTCACTAGAATCCCATTTATTTTTTTTTAACAAAAGCTGCAGGTTTATGACAGCAAGGGCAACTAAGAGTATGACCCGCAGTAAGTACCATGAATAGACCTGAAAATTACCTCATGTAATAGTCCTAAAAAGGTCACTTTCTCCTGTCACCTTAGACCTTTTTAACTCTGCAGTAGTCATTTCACACTAACTTCCCCTCTCCTCTCTACAAAATCCAAATCAAACATGAGGAACTTCAGCATCTGACAACAGACTTTAGCTTCAAGCTTCAGCACAGCCTTGATCCTCTTTTTTTCTATCTCCCATCTTTGTCTGGACCAGTCTGCAGTTGCTCTTCCGTGTTCTTCACAAGATGGGGGAACTGCATCTGCACTGCAGGGGACCTTCTCTAAAGTAAAATTTGGAGTGAAGTAGTTTGTGGTCAAGGAGCAAAAGCTCAACTCACAGCTAGGAAGTGGGGAAATGTCAAAGAAAGGCCAGTGAAATGTTCTGTCTAAAGAACAATGTGGTGACAGGGAAATGAGTCACTGAAGTCAGCTATAAGTTCTCCCTTGATCCTGGCACATGTACAGTGTGGGAAGAAAGCTGTGAGCCAGGCCACCTGGACAGCACGGTTTAAAAAAACATCCCTGAAAATAAACTTGGATGAACTTTATACCCACAATGCATTTCCATCTACAAACCACAGCTCTGTGTGTTTACAGAGGCCTTTGAAATGGGAATGGGAAACACATCCCAGGATCATAGGATTTTAGATGATACTGCTGAGGAGCAAGCTAATACGTAATATCAAGCAGTAGACAGAAGATGATTTCTAATTTCAGTAAAACACATTTCTCAAAAGATGTAAAAAAATAATGCCATTAAATGCTCATTAATTTTCATACTGTCTCTCTATTTTGCACTTACATTGGTATTTATTAGTTTCACTTCATTCCAGTTCTTTCTAGCTCCTTGTCTGCTTAATAGCATTATTATGCACACACTCAGGCATTTTCCAGTGAAGTTACTACTGACTGAAAGACTCTGGGACTCAATCTGCCTGGCAAAAGCCTTAGGAGATGTATGGACTCTCCTATCTTTCCTTATGAGTAACTGATTACACCACCTAAAAGAAAATTCAGAGGTATTACAGTTATGAAAAAGCAGCAATATTTCTTACTTTCATGTGCCAATAGATTTATTTCCTGAACAGACCACAGAAGAACAACTTCCAGGTGTATTCCACACTGCTGGAATATTTGTCAGCATTTTTTCTACTTTTAAAGGTCAAATATAGCTAACATAGCATCTAGCCATCAATACAGAATATAGTCTTTGCAAAGTCTGAAGGAACAGTATTAGAATCATCATTCACAGTATTTTCAGGTATACAGCAAGCAGCATGTATATATTTTGGCATCTGGAAATTAAAATATATGTTGCTTCAATTAATTATTATACTTTTTAATTTGCATTACTTAGAATATGCATTTCTAAAATGGAATATTAACTTTGTATTTGCCATGTAGTCAACTTCTCTGGGACATTTTTGAATTATTCAACAGAATAGCTCTGCCAATTTGTCTCTTTGAAATGAGTGCACACTTCTGCAGGTTTTACACCTGGCATCTCCAAAAACATAGTGCTGAAAGTAGGAAATGAATAATATTATTCAGAATGGCATTGTGGTCATTTGCCATGTGTTGAAACTAGTTTAACTTAATTTACACAAGAAAAATTTGATGGCAAGCAGCCTGCTAAATCACTGCCAGCAGCAGTCAATCATTAGGCACCCACAGGAACTTGAGCCCACCAGAAGTGGGTGTTCTTGAGCCACAGGCTGTGGAATGACTCCAAGACAGACTCTAAAGAGGCCCAGGAAAGAGCTGAGGGCCAACAACAGCAGGGACATTGCACAGCCCCACCACAAGCAACTGATGCAATCACTCCTCCTTTTGGAATACTCACTCCTGCACCACAGAACAGGGAGGCCACGGCACTTGTGAATATATTTGTGACTTATACTGCTCGATATCTGAGCCCATTTAGCCTCCACAATGCCAACTTGGTCTCAAACCTTGGCAAAATCATAGCAAATACATACAAAAAGTTGAAAGAAATCTGTCAGACTGATACATAGCTGTTATGGACAGAGACACCAGAAAAGAAAGGGTGCAGGTCAAAGGACCTCCTCAACATTTTGGTGGTTACTAATCTGTACACATGCTGTGCCCCCCATGAGTAAAAGTCCACAATTAAGCATTCACAGTATAAATTTTATTTCAATCTGGAATTTTTTTCCCTCAATAAAAACCTCCTGTATTAATTATTTATATTCTGTCCCACATTCTTTCTGGATTATCAGACCTGTCTATGAGAATCTTTCAGAGCCAGCAGGGTGCATTTTAAAATCAGACCTGTAGAGAGAGTGCAGTTATATTTTCATGTCACAGAGGTATAGGCACAGGTAGCACCTGCCCAGCCAACATTGGCTGCTGACAGCCAGCACTGCACTGAAAGCACAATTCGAAAGTCCAATTCAAAAGCCCATTACATTTAACCAAGGAAAAATACATGTATACACTGAAAACAGCGTTCAGTCTGGCTTTGACTAGTGTCAATGACATGTATACAGCTTACAGGTCCACACTTGAGGCTTCTGATTAGTTTAAAATCTATGTAACTGCACAGAGAAAACTGCAAAATTGAAGTTTCTCTTTCAGATCAACTTCAATTAACCAGCCCAACTCCTGTTTGTAGACAGGGCTGTGATCATTTGGCCACTTCGCAAAGGAAGACATACCAAAGATCTGTAAATTTGTTTCTTTCCCATTTCAGCAACTAACCTTCACTAAGGTACTAGCAGAGTTATCTCATCTAAACACCAGGTTAACTGTAGAAGGAAAAACTATATGCTTTGCGCTTAAAGAAAAACAAAGAAGAAAACAAAATCAAACAGCAAAACCTTGTAGCACACTAAGCACAGCCAAATGCTTACTGGATGCTAAAGCGACTGTACACATCTGAGAACTGCTACTGCAGGACTGAAAAAGGCCAAATACCATTTTACACAGAAATCTGATTTCCTTTACTTCCTTTGAAGAACAGCATCACTGGTTGTTTACAGAAATTACTGATCAATCACAGCTACCCACAGAAAATAAAGGTTTATGAATTTAGTTACTTTTCCTAAAACTATGAGAGAGAAGTCTTACATTCTCACAGCTCAGCCAGCAATTTTGATGTGACAAGTGGCCATTTTCATCTGGAGCTGCAGAAGACAAGGAACTCAAATCACATTCTAGTAAATAGATGTGCTGGTTTGATTTTACTGTGATAGCCTGTATCTCCCACTCCTACTATATTTTAATGATCCAAGGTACACAATACTTCCTCTACTTCACGTTCTCCTTAAATGATTCCATCAACTCAAGAATTCAATCTTAAACTACATTTGGGGATTCTGATAATCCAATGATTTTCAAAAGCTGTGGTTTTCACGACATTTTCCTACAGATAGAAGCATTTAGGTTTAAGCAGCAACACAGAATACATGCAGAAAAGCAAACATAAAATTAATGTAAGAATTAACTTAAATTATCATATACTTAGATAACACATCTACATTAAAATAAAAAATTTGGTCAAAATTATAAAAACAAAAATATGTTTTTCAAGTGCTGAATAGAGAGTTGAAATCAGAAGGCAAAACACATACCTGGAGTTGCATATCAGCTGCAGCACACACCTTTTTGGATTCACACAGTCTTGACACCATGTTTTTTGGTAGTGGCTTGAAAAAAACCAAACAGGTCACATTTAGACTTATTGTTTATTTGTAAATTGTGTTTAAATAGCTAATTACTAAAAGATGCTGAAGATACAAAAAAAACCCTTATAGTACTAAAACACATTTGAAGTGCTTTGCATTGAGGAAGGAAATATTTTTCGAACAAAGCATTAAATGGCCAATTAAGATATCAGCATTAATCCACATAGCAAGAGAGAAATCACTAATCAAAATCTGTTTGTTTTTCTATAAACTAATTCCATATTCCCTTATATGTCTGTAAAAGATCTTATTACTATTTTTAGACATAAAGAACAGACTGGGGCAGTTAAAACCCTCCCACATCATATAACTCATAATACTGAGCTTAATAATACTGGGTTTTCATAACTTCAACTGAGACAGCATGAGACCTTCTGCCCTAACCCACATAAAAATATTTAGTTGTACTGGACAGTAAATATCTACCCTTTGAAATTTTTAACAAAGTTAAATTTATTCCACATCTATGGCAATAAAATTATCCATGCCACCACATACTGAAAAGTCAGAAACACTTTTCAAGTAATTATAAAAAAACCTTTTGACTTTCCATCCAGATGTCTGCAAAAACATCCAGACTTTTTAATGCCACATTTTTAAGAACATCTGTGTATGAATGCGTGACCTTACACTTCTTCCACTGCTTGCTGAAGTTTTTCAAGAGCTGTTTTCCTAACAAACATTTTCTTTTTTTTTCCCTAGCAGCTTCCTTAAGCAAACAAATGGAACATAGTTAAAGTAACTGCATTTTTGCTAAAAAATTAAAAAGGTACTGAAAGTTGTACAACATGTATAGAGCTATGTTTAATACGTAGCATCTCTATGTTATAGAGATGCTAGGTAGTAAACTTGACTCTAAAATCACACCTAGGCTTTTATAGTGTGTTGAAGCATTCAAGAAATAAACCAAGAAAGTCTACAAGATATGGCAGAGTCATATGTTTAGATTCTATGCAAATTATATGAATTCCAGACAAGCAATGTTCACAGAATAAAACCCAGCTCTAGAGAAGGTACACCTAAGTGAAGCAACTTTATCAATTGACTCTAGAATCTCAAAGTTGAAGCAGGTAAGAAAAATTCTCTGCCTGTGCAGCTGCTTTATGCAGTACTTTCTAAGGCTTGCAACCTCCTCTCCAAGTCAAAAGTTAGCTAGGTCAAGCATGGTATAGAGCCAGACAATTTAATAAGGCAGAAAATCAAAAGAATCAAGAAGAAAGTAAAAGTGAAATCAAGAAGAAAGTACAGGTCACTCTTATAACCATCTGTTGACAAAAAGGCAAAGGAGAAAAAATATTTATGTCTTTCTTAAATCTATCTGTGTTACTAACCTGGCTCAAAGATTGTGTTGTGATCATAATTCACAAGCCAAGTAGAATTTGGCACCAGAAAAACACTGCCAAAATTAGATTAAACTGAAAGCATTTAAGTCGATAAAGAAGTCACTTATTTTTCCCAAAACACCTTTGGGATCTTAAGATTTCAGGGAAGCAGAATTTGACTCCAGAGGGTTTTTCAAAGATCACAACTCCACTCCAAAGTATGTTTCTGTGAATGTCATGCACACAGATACATTCAGGTCTTGAACTGGAGCATGTACTGTTTCAGGCAGCAGAAACTATTCCTCCTTGCTCCATTACAATCTCACACAGTTGCTTAATAAGTAGCTGAAGTAATTTTAAAAAAGGTATCAGCATTCTTACTTCACTTCTCCTGAAAGATGAACTCTCTGATAACACCAGAATGACACTGTCATCTTCCTTCTAAAAGAAAGACTTCACAGAGCTTTGCCTAAAACTATGTCATTGAATAACCACTCAATTTTTAAAATTTAAATACTACATGCTTTACTTTGAGTCCACTCTTCTATTCTTCTCCATTAAGTAACTTAAGATCTTGGAATGAATTTTTCAGTTTTCATGGTAGCTAAAAGAAAAGAATTCCCTGTGTCCCAAAGCATGCTTAACTCCTCACTGTTGTGTAGTAATTGCAACACATTGTAACTGTACTATCTGTTGGCTTATTCTTTCAATCATGTTAATACAATACTGTCTTTGTAATTCCATCTCTGTGAAAAATGAACTCAGTTCAAATTTGAACAGCTGAAACACTGGCCATTGTTCAAGAGAGCCTCCAAAGACACAAAAGCTTAAAATTATTTAGCTCAGACCTACCATGTATCTCTGCACTTTACAAATGAAATTAAACAAAATCACAGTGATATAGAATGGCACCCATGCCCCAGACTGCTTAAGTGCTGCAATGTCCCCATTTTGGTAAGGCTTGACTTCATGAGCTTACCTGATTAATCCAACTTTAGTAACTAATAATTACAGTCCTTTCTATTTATTCATTTTATCTCAGGGATTTTCTGGTTTGAGTGATCTTTTGGATGAAAGGAAAACTAGGCTTGCTTTTTTCTTGAAACAAATAGATTTGTTCTGGCCAGCTTTTTCAACTAAGTTCAAAAGACTGTGTACATTTGACAGGAGAGCTTGCAAGCTTTCTCACTCCTCAACATTCAACAGCACAACCTTTCAAGAGACACAGAAAGCAGAGACAAGCTTTCTATAAACTTCAAGATATTTTGGACCAGAACCTCATGATCTACATCTAAATGAGCTCTCATCTTTGAAGGTCTGCCCATCAATTTCTTTTCCCGCAATGCTACTAAAATACAATTTTCATCAGTTCAGATGTTTTAATAATCAAAACACCTCTTTCTCTTCCCACAAGCATAAGCACTGATTATAAGTGCAGATCCTCAAAGATGAGTCCTTCTACAACTGCCTTTAATAGCAATGGCTAATATAAGAGGAGATTACACTAGCAAGTTTTTCTGATGCAGTTATGTTCAGTAGGAATATTAGAAACCACACCACCTTAAGTTTCCATGCAAAAACTAGAGTGCAGATGCAGCAATGCCAAAAGAAGGATGCTTTGTAAAATTATCTGCATTGCCTCCAACACAAACTGGGTCAGTAGCAAGTCCACCTTCTGCAAACATCCAGCAGAGCTGTGTGGTGTAGCTGGTGCAGAACACACCTTTCTAGCAGCCTTCTAGCATAGAAAAGCTCAGTCTCTTAATTCATAAGAAGAAAATTAATGCATGTTCTCACAGAGAACAACATACTGATTAAATGGTTTCACAATTTTCACATTCTACCTTTTTTGTCCATTTTCCTTACTTCCCCTTGAAAAGGAGATAAAGTGGACTCATTTTTTTTTTCAAATAAATCAAAAACTGGAGAAACACAATAAAACCCTGAATTTCCTCTTTGCACCACAAAAGAATTAATCAGGGAACAAACAGAGAAATTAAGCCCCAAAAAGATCTTTGTGAAGTTGAAAATGTAAGAGAGATGGGATTTTAAAGTCGAACTACTTCATAACATATACACAACAGAAAACATTGCTTCAATCTATTTGTATTTAAATGACAAACACAGAAATCTGATATCAGATTCTTAAAGTCAGCTTAGATGAACCAACATAAGCAAAAGCAGATTTATATATGTTGGATAATGGCTTAAAAATGCATTCTAAAATTTTTAAAAAGCAATTAAAAGGAAAGAATCTAACACTCTCAAGAGCCACAGAGCAGTTTCAGGCTCTTCTCATCATCCAGCATAATCCATTCTTCAAGACTGGACTTTTACATCAAGCCTCTCTCAATTGCTGTCTGAAAAGGGAAGATTTCACCACCAATAAACAGAAGTAGTTTATGGAAATGCCAAATGGGACACAATGTCTGGTTCTTAGCTTTTGCACTGAAACTAAACATGGTTTAGATTTGTCAAGTCATTTTGAAAATACAAAGCCATAAATAATGTTCTACAAATCTCTTTCAGATGTTTTAGTGAGGCTCATTCTCTGAACTCGTATGCAATCAGATTAACTCCATGCTGCTTAAACACTTCATGAACTTTATAGAGAACAAGAGAACATTACAAAGTCCTATTTCTGTATGTAGGTTCAAGTAGATAAATGATCAACACTCCTGAACTGAGTTTAATTCCCAGGTTGCAAAGAGACCTTTCTTAGTGCAATCAATTCTGCAGAAACAATTGCTCTCTTGAAAAAAAAAAAAAAAAAAAAAGAAAAATTACAGAGCAAATTTCTCAGACAGTATCTATTAAGCAGAAGTTGGATAGCATATTTTCCTAACTGTTCAATGGAGGCAAACATATTTCTACTTCCATAATACTGAAATGCACTGAATGCTTAGTAATGGATAAGAAGCTCCAATGAAGTATAACACTACACAACTTAGGAGGAATTTTTGAAATGTCTGTATAAATATAAATCATTCTGTATTAACATGTTTTAAAGTGACCACCAAAAGTCACCTTGCTCCAAAGAGCACTGCTTTCCAAACACCCCACAGAAAGCAGATCCTTGTAACACACTGATAAAGAAGAACTTCATGTAAGGTTTTAAAGCAGAAATTCATGACTAACAGTATCTAACTAATCCTAATATAATCCTAAATAGAGCAGTATATTTTTCATCACAAAATATTTCACTCACTGCCCTACACTGTGCTAAAAATGGAAATTTTGAAACACTGCAGATAATTTCCATTTATATCCATGATTGGTTATCTGAGCTTTATTTTAAGACAGACTTTAGAGAGTTCAATGACAAATGCTATTTTTGTCATAACTTACCTGTAATGATATTAAATCATTCCAAACAATGTGATTCACACAGAAGTTGTTTACCTACTATACCTTGTAGAAAAAAAAAGGCTGAAAGTTTTAAACATGTAATTGAAATCTAGGATATAGGAACCTAGTATTCTTACACAGATTTACATTTATCTTTTTTGCAATGACAATATTAATTTTTTTCCTGAATAACTGAAATTGTAGTACTAAAATAACTTTATCCATTGTTTATTTCTACTTTAAACATTATTAATTAATAACACATGTAAAGATGATTCTTTTCCTACAGACATTTTTTCCTATTTTCAAAATTTTACATTTTTTCCCCTACCTGTCCTGTTTTATAATGCCTTGCAAACTGGTTAACCACTCGATAGTCATTTGCAAAGTACTCCATCAGAATTGAGGGAACTTCAGCAAAATCAGTAGCACATCTGGTTCCTAGAGGTAGAATAATTGTACACATTAGCATCTGCTATTTTCACTAACAAATAGTTAACTCTTCCCAAAAGGTTTTGCAACTTGCAATTTGGACTTTTGGTGAACTTTAATGTTCTTTCATTTATTAAGTCAATATTTTATTTCCATTATTGTACATACTGCCAGAAAAGCTTCATTATAATCCTACACATTTTACTGTAAATCACAAAGTAAAACAAAATATTTGAACAGCTGGGCGAGGCACCTTATAATGCTCTGGATCACACCCTTTTTAAACTAAACCAGACTGTAGCCAAACTGGCCCTACATGAAACACCAAATCTATTTAAGTGTCCTAAACCTAAATTAAACTACAATGTAAATAAAACTCTGCCTTAATCCCATTCACAGTTACAAGTTTTAGCTTCCATCTGTTTGCTGAGCTTTCTTATGCTTTACATTAACCTTGCTTTATGACACCGAGTCATTCACTCAGAGAACACTCTTGCAGATTGAAGACGTGTTCTATGTACACGCAATGAGGTAATATCTCAGCTGTTACTATTTTCAAAAAGCCCTTTACCAAAAACCTTATTTACTCTAATCCTTATCAGCATCTTGCCCAATGGAAGTGACTAAAAAGTGCAACACATTGCCAAATCAAAGCTGAATTTCTAATTTCTATATTAAAGTTAGCAGTGGAAAAGTTGCTTTCATGGTGGACCCACTGGGTCACCACCTCCATCCTGGTCTGCCAGAAACAATGTCAACATTCAGAATCAGTCTTAAATCCCAGTCTGCTTTTACCATAATTTGAAGATAGGTTTGTAGAGGTCAAAGGAGTGATTTTAGAAACCATTCTCTAATTGTTAATCTTAATTTATAATCTGTTTACACTCAGTGATTCAGACAGATACTGCTCTTTATTACAAACAGCATTTATCGCACTGGTTTTTACCTACTAAATAGAGAGAAACTATATTCTCTCTGAGCATCATTATCCAAAGGCAAGATAAAATCTAAGAAACATTCTCTGTACTTGCTGCAGTTTGAATTCACCTTCAGACTAGACACACAAAATGAACATGCCCAAACACTGCATGAGGTTTCACCAGTACCTTTACCATTCTAATACCTACTGCTGTTAGATACAGCTCTGATGTAATTTCAAATCACACTGGACCTTTTCACAGACACATTAGCTATATGCACTTCTGCACTGACACATAAATCTGTGATTCTGTTTGTGCACCACTGCTGAAAAATCCATTTGATAGCAAAAATTCTCCTTACAGTCTGAAAATGCATGATCTGCACTGTGCAGTTTTGAATTAAAGAAAAGTAAGGCAAGAGAGAGCAGGAAAGATGTCAAATTATTCAGCTCATCTCAACTAGAATGTCAATTTTTTTTGTGCTCACAATAGCTTGTAGTCATATTGTTTCCATACTTTACCACCCTCATGTTCCATGAGAGCAGACAGTCCCTAACAGACATCCCTGAGACAAGCCCTTTGATTTTTACACATTCCAAATCCATTAAAAAAGGATTCTCTGCAGAAACAACAGCACTGACCTCCAACCTCCAATGCTGCTTTTGCAATGCTAGATCTGGAGTGAAATTCTCTGGGATGCAGGACTGCCTGGAGCTAAGGCAACACAGAAACCATACACAGGGACTCCTGGAAAATCTGAGCCTCACAATTAGGCACTTCCTGCCCCTTCAAGGGTCTGACATGCAGAAACACATGATTCAGCACAAGAGGAGAACTCACACCAAAGTGGCTACTTTGGGCATAGAAATATTCCTGTAGCTCAAGATGAGGAAGGCTGTATGAGTGGAAGGAGTGCCCTTAGCTGTCCCAAAGACTATACAGAGCTTATACTCAAGGAATTATGCAGTGTTCATCTGTTTTAACAATGTCTAGTAGTGACATACTTATAAAATAGTTCAGTCAACTTTAATTTTAAATGGACAACTTAAAAAAAGAGTATTTTGCCACTGGGTGCAAAGGTATCTATTGACAAAACATTAACTCAACATTAAGACCCCTTTGTATCATTAGCATAAAATGGTAAAAGATATTAAAAAACTAATTCTTCAGACAAGGGATTCACAATCTCACCTGTTTTGTAGTTTGGTTTTTATTTTTTAATAAGTAAATGTCTACTGCACTTGAGATTTCCAGCATACTATTATAGAAAAGAATATACCAAGCTGTCCACAGGTAAAAAACGTAGCATGCCAAGCAGCCTTAGCCGGCATGGGTGTTTGACCTGTTTGCCACAACTGCAGAAGGCTGTAGAAGTCAGAGACCTGCCAGCCAATACCCTCACTACTCTTTGCAAGACTTAATTCACTGATTTTCCTTCATTCATTTTTCTAAGTCATTTCCAACCCAGGATTCAATGTGGTTTTACATTAGTACAACCTATTTCCCAACCTCCAACTACTCCAATGATTATGAAATCCACATAAGATAAACTTGAAAGAGTGGATACCACCAACAGAATAAAGATCAACAGTACATAGAAAAGAGATACAAACACCTAATTCTTATTAGAACAAGAATATTCAAATGTTGTTTGGTTGAGTTTTACATAATATCTGCAGATTCGATACTCTATTCTCAAATCATCAAGGGTATAGAGCTTAACATGACAACGATTTTTGGTTCATACTCTTTTTATTCTTTTGTTCTGTTCTATTTTTTTTTTTAATCTACACCTTTCTTCTGGAAAGTAAACATTTCACTAAAACAAAAAAAATCTCGACTGTAACTTTCTTACCAGTGACATGTTGGTAGCGAGTTCTCCCCAGCATAGAATGCATGGCATGACCCATTTCATGGAACAGATTCTCCATCATGCCAGGACTCAGTAGCGTTGGTGCACCTCTTGCTGAGTTGGGAAGGCTCAGCATAAGAACAACTACAGGTAGCTGGTACTCTCCATTTTCCTTTAGCCTGCCTCCTCGAACTGTAAAGTGACAGTCCTTTTCACGGTAAAAACAAACATGGACAGCCAATGTCATTATATTATAGTGATATTAAAACAATGATTAAATTAAACTAAACTATTCAATCAAATCAGAACATATACTCAGCTACACAAGTAGAATTCAGTGCTGCTACTGAATAACACTGTTCCTCCATCCTTACCATATACCTCAAACTCATAAAGAAATTACTTTATTCCATAAAAGAAAGTCTGTGTCACTTCTAGAAAATAAAATTATTTCTTTATGTTTTAGAATTATCCAAACCATTGAAACTTTCCAAAAGGTATCACTAGTGCCAAGAAATTTACTGATGTGTCAAATCCATAATGTACAGATTACATTCTCTCCTCAACCTTCAGCAGTAACTTCTTTATAAAATATACCACACAGCACTACTAGTATATTGTGAATTGCTAGCAAAAGAGTTATATTTTTAACTAATGTAGATTTAAAGTTTGCCCACTCATCACCTCACTAAAGGTGGCAATTTGCAGATGCTTCTACTGAGTGAAGTGTCCACTGTTCTGCATCCTATTGCAAATATACTGGCACTAGGTAGTGACTGAGCCACAACACTTAGAACCAGCAACAGTTTTAAAGACAATTTAGAATAAAATTAGTTGAGTGTAAAGATTAGAAAGTATAAATGTCAGATTGCTTCTACTTGTAAACAGTAGGCCAGAAAACAAGTGTTTAAATCTCTACCATTTCTCTAAACAGAGTTCTCTAAACATTTTGTAGCACCTGTTATTTTGCACCACAGAGTCTAAGCTCAGCCTATTGGGTTTTTTTTTAAATGAAAGCTTGCTCTAAAAAATATTTTACCTAAACCCACACATGAAGTTACAGACATTCTCTGTTTAAATTTATTTTAACATGAGGAAAATTTTACTAAATTTATATTGAATGCAAATAGCACTAATGCTACAGTTATTACTTATATAAAACCCAAGCTGAAGTCAGATCATAAATGTTACCTGATGTGGTTTATCAGGTCGCTGGAAGAAGTCACAATAGATGTAACCTAGCAAACCTTCAGTTTCGTGAACAACAGCCTGAAGAAAAAAAGGGTATCATTTCCACAGTGAAAGCACTGATAATGTGCAAACTGAAGATGTAATATTCAAATCCCAAGACTTATAATGAAGAAATAACAAACGAACTGGGAATAATTAATATAAAATCTGTTCTTAATTTTACTTGAAAATAAATATATGGACAAAATTCACATCTTGTATCTCAAACTACAGACATTTCTGCATTTCACTGAAAACTAGCTAGTCACAGATTAGTATTAAAAGTACTTTCTGTGTTAAAAAAGCCCACAAATGACAAACAGAAGTGATTTACCACAGAAATAAAAACAGAAAGAGTAAGGAGTAATTATAAATTGACCCACAGTATATAAAGAACAGCATCTCTTGCTGGAGGCTGAGGATAGAAGAGCAGTGGAGAAGATCTGGCAATGAATAAATGTAGGAAGACAACAGAGGAACTTGGGAACCTGATGAGTAAGTTACTGCCCAAGTTTTGATTTCTACTCTCCCCTAAAAAGAGGGCAGAAAGACAAAAATCAATCTCAAAGTCAAGATGACTTAAAGAGCAAAAAAAAAATGAGGCAAAGACACACCTCCAGCACTCTAGTCATCTAAGGTCATCTACAAACTGAAACTAAAACTAACAGGGCCCATTCAGAAAGGTGCAACAATAATCTCCAAACAGAAAATGTTTCTGATTCAGGCATCGTTGACACAGATCTATTAAAAGGCCATAAAATACCAAACATCCAAAAGGCACTTAAAGAGATGATAAAGCTCTTGAGGTCTAACTTCAACTCAAATTAGACAACTAGTTTGTGTTTTTGATAGGTATCCAAATAATTATTTTTAAGAAGTTTGATTCATAGCTCACAGGAACACACTATCTTGATTATTTTCCTTTGGTTTCAGATGCTGGGAACAAGAATACTTACCAACTTTCTAACATCTTCAGACCAAATCTCTCCTCTCTTTGTCTGTTCAGCATACAGAGAGATCCCTAGGAGCTGACTGAACAGAGAGTTCAAACCTTCCATGCATGCCCCAAGAGAGAAAAATGGACAATACAAGCCAGGATCAATGTTGTACCTAAGGGAATACAAGAATCCCATAACAGTCAGTCAGCAGAGCTACATAAACTACAGTACTCACCTTCAAGCCACAGGATGTCACAAAATACACCAGCTCAGCCCAAAGACCCTCAGCGAGCATGTTTGGATTTATTTTTCAAATAGTGAAACCAAGTTACAGGCACAGTGCTTTGTAGTACCTCAATTATTTCAAATAGAGATACCAAATTCAACAGATGTTGACTATGATTTTGAGAAATGTGGTGAACATGCAGCCCAAATAGACCATGGGTGGCCAAGCAGTGGCTTTTGATACTCAAGAGGCCATTGGCACTTAAGTGCCTTTCTCATGCCAAGGCTGCATCGTGTGACTGATCAGAAAAACAAGCTGGCTTTGGCTGTGGTGTAAGCCAAATCCCCAGCTAGGGCAGGAAACCAACTGGTAAGCACTGCTGACTCTGCAGTCTTGCCTTTCACTTCAGCAACAGAAACACCAAGTAGACACAATCACCTCCCACACAAAAATCACACCTCAAGCTCTGGGGACTCTCTTGAACCATGTAGAAAACATCTTACAGCTGCAAGCCACCTGGAAATTTCAGTATGTGACATGGATTTCAAACATGGCCAACACAGCTTCCTGAGCCTAACCTCAACCAACCAGGTTCAAGATGTAGTACAGAAGACACTCATAGGAGGAAGACATCATACATCTGCATGCATACACAGAATGAATAAAAAATTCAAAAAGGAGTTCAGAGATGTATGCAGTCTGCAGAAGGGTTTACACTCCCTGAGACTCTGACCCTAAAAAGTAAACACACTACAAGTGTATCAAGCAAATAAATGCTTTACAAAATTACACCTTTCAGCAGCTGATCAGCACCATGCAACTCTTTTGAGACAATAGCAAAATCAGAACTGGAATCTGCTTGTAGCTGTGTGTGCACCCCAAATGGCAAAAAATACTCTTGTCTCATTTCACATACAAAGCCCAAGCGTTATTTTATGCTGTTTTCTAGGGTCTGAGAGTAAAGACTGTTTAACTCTAGACAATCACAGTCACTGAAATTTAAACATGCATCAGCTAGACTACAATAGCTGGACACCAAATATGAGAACCATGCTGGTTTAAGGCCTGGGATCAAAAGGCTTAGTTACAGACCAGCTGTGAAAGCACCAGATAGTCTCTACCCACACACCTACCCTTCCTTCCTTCCCACTCCCACAGAGAAGACCTGAAAAAGAAACCCACTGGGAATACTTCATTTGCTGAAGTGCTGCTTACAACTGCAGCTCTGATTCACTGATGGGCATCACTGAGCTGTGAGGCACAACAGAGGGGGGTTACTCCTCTAAGCCATGATATAGTGAGGTACAAGATTTTGCTTATTTTCACACCACAAATGCAAGAAGCTAAAGTCGTGTATTCCATTCTATTTAAACTATACTAGAACATAGAAAATAAAGTAGATTTTGCTTCTACCATACAAACATAGTTTTTCAAGAACTCCACACTTAAATTCACACACTGCATGCTTCCATGTACATGTTTTCCCTCTTACTCAAAAAGTCATTACAACCAAGGAATAAGCATAATATAAATCACTTTAGATCAAGTTAGAGAGAAAGACTGAAAGCAAGTCTTTAAAAGAAAGCAGAAGAGATTAGTTAATTTTCATATAAACCACAGAAATTTGGAGTACAAAGGACATTGATTGACACAGAGAACTGTCCCTTCCACTGCAACATACAGAATTACAGCGGCCCTAATGCTTTCAACAGTGGCCCTTTTTGGAAAGCTTTAGCAGGTAAATCTCAGATGTCTCCATACTTTTACAGAATCACCCAGTGATTGCCTTCTTGCCAGACTGTTACCATTAAAACTGAAACACACCACTAAGTGCTTCAGACCTCCTGATTCTGCTCTGAAGCTCTCCCTGCATACAGACAACAAGCCCAGTTAAAACGCCCCATCTTTGGCAGCAAATCATAACAACATCCATAATAGTTTAAAACTGGTTTTTGTCATATCACTTTAAAATCTTGTACTATCATTCTACTATCATTCTACATGCCACTATGAATAGTAAGCCGTAATTCAAAGAATTGCTTCTTTAACTAATATCTGGCTACAAAAGTACTGTCTCAATACACACCACAGACAAGCTCAAGGGGCTTCATTGCACAAGGGCTCTTTGCAGGGCTTTGTTGCTGAGTGCACTTCAATCAGCCCTGCCAAATCTATGCTTATTTGCAAAGCCTGCACACCCTCCTGCCCCCAGACATCCAGTATCATTCAGGATTCCTGTGCTATTTCCTCCCTGCCCAGTGGGAGAAGAGAGACAAGCGTACAAGATATTTCACGAAAGAAACATATGATACAGTACTACAAACACAGACTTCAGTAAATCAAAATTGAACACTACCAACAGCTCACATTCATAACAAAACATCAGATTTTCACAGCTGCAGGAAACTAAAATGTGTTACTCCCAACAGTGAGTTCAGCTGCAGGATAAGAGAACATGAAAATAATAAGAAATTAAAGAACAGCCCCTTGAAAACATTTCATGAAATTAGACAACTTTTACACAAGAAATATGAAAAATCAAAAGATGTGTAGAGACTGCTCAAAATTTTCTAAGAGCAGAATTTTTTTTTGATGGACCAGCTAACCCTGGAAACCATTTCCAAGTACATGAAAGACAAGAATGTCACCAGGAGCAGTCAGTATAGATTCAGCAAAGACAAGTCATGCTTAAAAAAAGACTTGACAACCTTATACGATGAAATAACTGGCCTGGCAGAAAAGGGGAGAGCAGTGCACATCACCTCCTTGGACTTCAGTGAGCCCTTTGACACTGTCTCCCATAAGATCCTCACAGAGAAGCTGTCAAGGTATGGGCTGGATGAGCAGAGAGAAAACTGGCTGAATGGCAGGGCTCAGAGGGTGATCAGTGCCACAAAGGCTGCTTGGAGGCCAAGGACCAGCACTGTGCTCCAGGGGTCAGTACTGGGTCCAGTCCTGTCCAGTCATTGGCAGATAACACCAAACTAGTCATCCAAACTGGGAGTAGTGGCCGATATGTCATAGGGTCTTGTTTCCATCCACTGGGACCTTTACAGGCTTACAGGATAAATGAGCTGACAGGAATTTCAAGAACTTCTCCACTGCACCTGGGGAGAACAACTCCAGGCACCAGTATGTGCTGGGGGACACCCAGACCCAGCAAGAGAGGCATTTTGCAGACAGCGACCAGGGGGTCCTGGTGGACACCAAGTTAGGCACCAGCTAGTGAGGGACCCTTGCCACAAAGAAGGTGACCAGCACCTTGGGTGCATTAGGAAGAGCATGGCCAGCAGGCTGGGGGAGGTGACCCTTCTGCTCTACTCAGCACTGTGTCCAGTGTTGAAGTGCTGTGCCCAGTGCTCAGTTCATCAGGAAGAGAGGCACAGCCACACTGCTGTGCCTGGGAAAGAGAAGGCTCAGAGGGATCTTAATAAAGAGTACAAATTCCTGAAGGAAGGGTGCAAAGAGGAGAGAGCCAGACTCTTCTCAGTGCTGCCCAGTGACAGGACCAAGGCAATGGGCACAGAATGGAACACAGGATGTTGCATCTTAACATCAGCAAGCATTTTTTTCCCAGTGAGTATGAGCAAACACTGGCACAGGTTATCCTTAGAGGCTACAAAGTCTTGCAACTTGGAGATACTGAAAAAGCTGCCTGGACATGATCATGGACACTCAGCTCTAGAAGATCCAGCTTTAGCAGGGGTCTTCCACATGACCTCCAGAGAAAATTTCCAACTCCAACTACTTTGTGAAGATGTCATATGGAACCCAGGACTAAGAGCACACAGCTGCAGCAAGAGATAGATGCCAGCTTAATCAGAGGAAGACAATGTTTCATACTAATCACAAAGGATTACCACATTCAGTTGAAATACTGGATTAATGTGTTTGCTGGAGGGGTGGAACAAAACAACCTCTGAAACAAAGTTTGATTTCATGTCAGTCAAATACAAAGATATGTACTAGTAGGACAAAGCAATGATATTTCTTCATTGATAGAACAGCTGACACTAATATATTGCAGGGAGAAGATCAATACCTACTTCTCATTCTCAGCATTCCTTGAACATGCACAATGTCCCCATGACCCCGCCCCAGGATGAAAAGTATGTGAAGAAGGCCTTCTGATAAATACTTTGTAATACACTGTCACTGTCCAAAGTGGGAGCGGGGGTGGGGTGGTGGCAGGAAGTCAGTCTGGAATAGTTTTGTCCTTTGAAAAAAGCATGATACTTATCCACCCCCTCAGAAAAATAGTAGCAACAGACTACAATGCCTTAAGGCAGACTCCCCAGAGGAACTAGCCCCCTACTCTGGCTAATGTTTGAAGATGTCACAATCTTGACATTTTGAGTACAATGAGGTCCTGACTAAAAAACCACTTTAATAGAAACTACACAAAGTTAATGTTGGTCCCTTCTGCTACAACATTGCCAGGATTAAACCTCTCCCACATTTAATGAAACATGTGTGTTAATGTTCTTCTTGCCAATGGAAAATTGAAAAAAGTTTTGAAAAACAACATTTTTTTATAAAGAATGCCAAAACAAAAATGTTTCTACTTCTGATCTCAATTGTCCATTTCTGCCTTGCCTATTACACCAGTGGGCAAAAAAATATCAAAGCAGAAGATACTGAAAAACCCTCAAATACCACTAGTATCTTATGCCACAGACTCAATATTTAACTTACATCTGGACACACATGGCAGCAGTCAGCAGAGATTATTATACCTTGAGTTATCTGGCATCCACAGTTTGCTAGCCAATGCAATGTCCTAGCAGTTATGCAGAAAGGAATTAAAACCCATAATACAGTGCAATTATCACAATCAGATTATAATAACCAATAATACTTCAAAATGAGTACTGGGTAGTGAAAAAAAAAAGCTACTCCACCAAAAAGTGTGTAATACATCTTCAAAAATCTTTGTCTAAATCCAG